ATGTGTTAAAATTTTGACCAAACGGAAAATTTCCGATTATCAAAAAATTGTGCCGGAATTTTTTCATGATTTACCGGGGCTCCGGTATTTTACAGTAGAATTTTGTGCTCTGGTGGGGCGTATTATGCAAACGTTTATGACGAAATGACGTAGTATTTTAATTGTATTGTGTAGTATTTTCGATTAGTAATCGTGGGAGTATCGGTATAATTAATTGTTAATTTTTTCGATCTGGTGATCGTTAGAGTCAGTTATAGTAACGACGTAATTACGTCGATAGGGTTTATTAGAGTAACGAAGTAATTACGTAGTTTTTCTGATTTGTAATCGTTAGGGCATGCTTAAAGGGAATGGGGTTTTTTCCCAGACAAGATAATTTCTGTTTTTTCTGCTAACCCGACTTTGTCTGGTTTTTTCGTCCCGCCCTCTCCCACCCCTCGTAGGGTGGCCTAACGAACATTTGTGACACGATATTGGGAATCTTTGGTGTATTTGATGAGTAGCCTGTCGGAACGACAGTTACATGAATGGGCTCAGAAACAGAACAGCGTGTAGAGGCAACCTTGAAATTTTACCGGCGATCTACACCATGCGACAAATTGAGATATCACGCCTTAACGAAAATGATTGGCACAATTCGATTACCAAATCAGGGCATATTATACCTTATCAATCTATTATACCAGGAACGTAGTGTTAACGAAGTGTATGGTATAATGGCAAATAAACTGAAGGCAAAATCTTAAAGCTGATTGGACTGTACTATACACCAATACAAGACACGATTTTTCTCATGATGCGTCATTACCATTTCTGTCAAATTTTTCGCCGTAATGATGCAATAATTGATTTTTTGTTATTACTAGACAATTTTAATATTATATGAAGAGTCATGCATTATGTGTGTCGCATACAATCAAAATGATTACCATCCAAAAAAGTATGTATGAGGGGTTAGTATTTCAGGTTTAATCCTGAAAACTCGACCTTCTTATTAATTATATATATATTCTAATTCAGTAAATCAACCCCTCCGTTAACAATTTTTGCGTATAAAAAACTGGAAATATCAGTATATCAAATCTGGTATGAAATTCATATAATATTGTTTCTTTCACATAAAGTATAACATGATTTTGTACGAGGAAAGTTCTTGGGAAATATATATTGTATAAATAATCGAAGTTATATCAAATTAAAAAAATCTGAACACGGCTTGAGTCAATGATTTCATATGATGCAAAGTGTTATTGTATAAAACAAATAAAAGGACAAATTAGCTCTTTTTATGTTATTATTAATTTACAATTTACGATGCCATGCTGTGTAGACACAATCGTAAAAGTAAATCAAGTTCGTCAAACAGACAAGGATGAGATGAAATTAACTGTCGTATGGGCAATTGGTGCCTATCCTGCTGAAAGTGAAGATTGTGAAATGGAAATTGTTCTCTTTGTTCCATTAAACAAAAATGAAAGAGACCCTAATGCTCAGTCAGTTTTTGTGAAAAATGAATATTATAGTATTTGTAGAAAAGTTGTACCCAACACTTACAATAACAAATTAAGATTAAAAGTAAAATTGATGTATATTGAGCAAAATGCATTGATATTAGTCATTATTATTACTAATATTTATTAAATTTAGATGACTGTTACTTCATCAACACATCTTATGATTAGAAGGGATCCTGGTTCAAACAGATGCCCGTTGAAAGCTTCATTAATTAGTTTCGCTCAAGATGTTCCAAAAGAAGTTAACGATGAGAATGCAATATTCAAAGTACTAGTGAATGACTACGCTGGTCAACATTGTAGCTTTCTTGTTAAGATTGCTTTTCCATACCATAATAACCGATTTAAATATTTAATGAATTCTATTCATTCAGATGAATCAGTAATTTTTGTTGTAAGACATATGGAAGTTATCGAAGAAGATTTATATGTTTATGCAGCTGATATTTCTTATATTGACGTTAATTCTGTAGTTAAAAAAAAATCTCTAGTTTGAATAATTTTTAAACTACACCTGAAGTATATAGATCTGTTCAATCAAAACTCTTAACTACACATCAAAATGCTAATGAAAAACCATCTGATATGTCTTTAGTTGAACCGGGTAAACATTTTATTAACTTAACTGATGATTCTCATTATTCAAAGTGTCCAAGAGTACAAGATCCAAAAGATGAAGATGATTGTGTTACAAATGTTGACCTGAATTACAGTCATTATGAACAAACGATTGAATATGATAAAGAATGTATAAATGAAAACAGTGAATGCGATAGTACCATTAATGAAAATGAAAAAATAGTGCTTAGCCATAAGAATGTGAATAAAGGCAAAGAGAAAATGACACAATCTGTAACGCATAATACTAGAAGTCAAACTGGAAGGTTTAAAAACTTATATGAAGAATAATTTTATAAATTTAGCTTACTATTTTTCATTATCTTATATTACTATACTATTATGATATCTGAAAATATAAATTTAGCATATGAACATTTAAGATATAAATAAATAATAAATGGTATTTGGTATTTTTGAATATAAATACTTCAGTAAACACAAATTAAAGCATAAATCGTCTAAGTATTTGACCAAGTTTTACATAAAATGAAATAACAAGGTTAGCATTTATTTAAAGTGCACCTGATTTGACTTACAAGATTTCAAACAGGTAAACTAGTATTATTTAGGAAAATATTCTACACGAATTTCAGGAAAATATTTCTTTACTAATCCCAAAAAAATAACATACATTAATTTTAAAAAAATATCTTCACACTATTATAAACATTTGAATACTCCTTATTATACTAAAATCAACATAATTCTCCCACTCAATTATTCTTTATGCACAGAAAATTCTAGACTGTAATATTAATATTCTTCTTATAATACGACATATGTGTTATAAAATAATAATTATATATAATAATCTTCAAAAAAAAAACTATTATTGCTTGATCAAAGACTTTAATGTTACAACGAAAAAAAAATATAAAATTAAGTTCATTATCCTAAGCTCTTAATTATGCTAAACTACCGATTTTTCAACATTTTAAGAAAACAATTGAGATAATCATATGAAATAATGGATTAACTTCACAATACCTGTATTCAACAGAAATAACTTGCATGTAATCTATGATGAAGTTATCTGATCTCACAATAATAAGCTATCACTCCATTAACAAGTTTATTCTCAATTTTATAATATGCATTCATGTAAATGCATTAGTATAAAATTATTATTCACCAATAATTATCGACTAAAGTCCCACATTAAACAAATAAGTACTATACATCAATAATAAATCAACAAATTTGGGTTAGCTCAATTAAAAGCTTGAACAAAAGATTTAATAAAAAGAAACAATATATGATAAAACACTAATGTATAAAAAAAGTTAACAATATTATACATTAAATTCGAATAATAAGCTTAATAATAGATTTCTTGAATGAATATTCTAACATACATCATGATAAATTCTTCTATAACTAATAAAGTATAAAAACATTAAAAATTAATCAATTTGCAAAAACATATTGAAATACAAAAAACATATCTGTTTATAAACTAAATTATGAACTTTATAGAGGAGGGCTGATCACACAACTCTTCTCGACGATCAATTGTACCAAATTCTTTCTACAAACAATTTACTTTTTTGAAAAATTCTACTAAGTAAACTATAGTTGGCTGTCTAAGTAAACTTGTTCTATACAGATTTTATATATAGGCAGCCCTATATTGTATCTCTTTAACCCTTTTACAAAGAGATATAACACACTTATTCAAATTTCATTTATATTTAAAATTTTTAAAACTTTATTAAATAAACACTACTGCTTCCTTAATAGAAAAGATAAAGCTTACTTAGAGCTTTATTTTGATATATAATATATAACAAATGGACTTAAACTCACGCTTCTATCTTCAAAACTCTGCAAACTCTCTTGCAAAAATTCTGTTATTTTTTTGCAAAAATTTTGTCTTTTTTGGGGATTCTAGCCCTTTAGGACGCCCAAACCTGCAGATCACTATTACAAATCAATATTACTAATTAATTTACACAAAATCATTATTTGTTTCATCTATTCTTATCTCTATTGTTAATTTACTATTTAAGTCTTAATAACTTTACACAACTTTTGTTACACTATCATTACATCACACCAGGTCATACAAGTACACCAGCCACACCAGCTACACCAGCTACACCAGCTACACCAGCTACACCAGCTACACCAGCTACACCAGCTACACCAGCTACAAAATATTTATCCTGCTATTACACAAGGTTATACAAGATTACACTTACCAGCCGCACTAACCGCAATCTATTTAACCCCTGTTTTTAGTTTAACCCCTAAAAACAACTTTGTTAAATTTAACAAAAATAAGTTTTTCTTAGTAAAACTTAGAATTTTTCTATTATCAAAATGTTAACTTTAACTGACCAGGAACCAGACCACTTTGACTTGGATTACTTCTATAACAAATACAGTGACCGATATGGTACAATGATTCATGATGCTCAACCTAGCTCACTGAAAGCAATGCTTTTTGCATTTAATCCTAGCGAATGTAATGCTCTTAAAACTCTTCATTATTTCCGCATACCTGAAGAACCTGCTATTATTCGATGTTTCTGTCAAAAATACCATACCTTCTTTACTTCGGGCTACTTAAATATTCCACTCAGACAAGCTACTCCTCCTTCTCAACAATCTAAAACAACAAATATTGATTTAACAGCCAAACAAGTCAGAAGCCTAAAAGACAATATTCCACAATCTCCTATTGCTAAAGCTACTAGTTGTATATATGAAGGTGACCTGCCGAGATGACAGTCATGTTTTGAGTTTTTAATAAGTGGCCTGTTGGGAAGACGATCGTATTCTTGGATTTTTTGGTTGAAAAAGTGGCCTGTTGGGACGACAGTCATATTTTGGATTTATTGGTCATAAAAGTGGCCTGTCGGGACGACAGTCACAATTATTCTGAGTTTAGCAGTAGAAAGTGGCCTGTCAAGACGACAGTCACAAAAGATTTCAGTTGCGGCAGGGTTTTTACCAGCATGATTCTGGTTTTTTTTTGTTCTGCCCGCCAATATTGCCACCATAAATAGCATACGTAGTAATCAGTAACATAGGTTGTGTTATACAATACTTTCGAAGTCTGTACTATTATGTAAGGGTATTATAGCACGAAATCGGAAAGGACAGTAACACATAATTAATTTTCATTTGTAACACCCCTCAATGAGAGACAAAAAGCTAAAATGCTATTGAACCAAGTTGTGTCACTGATGCATGACACATGACACAAAAAAATCATATGTTTTTAAGGTCACGTGAGCAGTTGCGTCAGGTATCATTATATTAGAAACTATTGTTTGGAAGGAAACTACAAACCCAAGTGATGCGTTATATATTTACTAATAATATATAATTATAAAAATCGCAAATTATAAATATAAGACTGTATTTACTAAAAAATTTTAAGATGAATAGATCAAGAAGAGTGTTTTACGAAACATTATAATTTTTAAAAAGCCAAATGATTTTTACTGTCTGGTTTATTAAGTGTATATTGAATTAACACGTTTATTTAATTTTAAAGTTTTGCAGTATCATAAAAAGTGGGCCATAGAATAGTATAAAATATGAAGGTAACGAACATGAATAGCTTATTTTAAAAACACTTCATACCACCTTAAATTAACACGAATAACAAAATTAAATACAAAAATTTATTTAATAATATACTCTTTACAGAAAATATTTGCATTACCTTAAATCAGGGTTGGCAATGGACTATGTTCAGTAAAAATAATTATTCAATGGACATTAATGGACCAATGGATATATGTCCATTAATCCATTGTTCCATTGGTCCATTAATCTTTTGATAATATAACACCTATTATAACTAGCACATGATCATGTAGCGGCTTCGCCACCTAGTCTTACAGTATTAATAATTAAAAATTAGCCTCAG